AATGCTTATTAAATGTTCATTTTCTCCCTCCTAATTCTCTGCAGTTAGATCCTTGTGCTTCTTGAATTCTACTGGCTTTTCTAAGTATTCCAGGACAGAAACTTCTTGCTAAAAATCTCTGATCCACTTCTGAAAATAGAGGATCAAATTCTTCCTTGTCTGTTATATCAAAAGTCAGCCCTGATATTTGTCCAAATTGATTTTTGGACCATTTTCTCTATACCAAGAAAATAGTGCAATTCACTGCATCATTTAATTCTGCAAGATAATTTAACACCTACCTTCTACAGATGTACTCTCTAGAGATTTAAGACTTCCACTGTTGCACTATTGCAATAAGAATAATTATAGGATGTTTCAAACTGTTAAGGACATTGACAACTCCACTAAGACAGACAAAAAGGAAATGCCGAAAGAGAAAGAGACACTTGTTTTACAACACTCGTCTTAAAAGACTGTGTTAATATTACATCATTCTAATGTAAATATTAATGAGAAAAGGAAAGTCTCACAACATACTGGTCCAAATCCTGTTGTGGGATGCTACAGTGCTGATCTAATAGGCATGCCATTTCCAGATTTTAGTAAGTGGCATGTTCTTATACCAAGACCAACTTTTAAGCCCCTTGGTAGGCACATCCTTTACTGGAGGGACCTAGCACCAATTTACACAAATGCTCCACACGATAAAGTCCAGAAAGACCACATGCTGCTCTTCTTGATGGCTATGAACTCATAGGTTACTAGAAAGAAAGTTTCTACCCGGGGATTTTCAGTTGGTAAATGAAAAAGATTTCAGAATTATATTCAACTCCATTTTATTAGCACAAAATTTTAGGAGGCAGGACTTCATTATGATTTTCCTTTAATTCTCAACATTTCTCTAAAATTCTTTTGTTTCTATTTATCTTTCTTATCTTCCCTTTCTAAACTTCCCTTTCTTGTAATAGCAGTACTGATATTAAAGCTAACAACCAATTTTTTATGCTCCTGGTGTCAATGTAAACTTTACTCTTACTTTTCTGGATTTTTGTGAATTCAGTAGTTAACTAAATAAATACACACACACACACACACACACACACACACACACATATTTACTGAGGATCTACTATATCCTGGGCATTGTTAGTGTAAGGTCTGACCACGCCATGAATGGCATGGTAATATCTGTGATCTGCAGATAGATACACCCCAGATGAGTAAATGATCAACCTCTGCAACTAACCTGAGACATTCTTCTATTGTTTCTTATTCTGGCCTCAATTGACAAGGCTACCGGACTTTGTAATCGACCTTGGCCAACCTCCTGACTCTATGCCCTATGACCCCTCCCAGCGTGCAAACCTATGACCCCCTGATGAGAATCTAACTGATGCCTGATGAAGCAAGGTAGAACAGTTTTATCCTGAAGTCATCTCCTCCCAGCCCCTGTTGTGGAAAAATTGTCTTCTACGAAACCGGTTCCTGGTGCCAAAAAGGTTGGGGACTGCTGGTTTAAGCCATCCAGTCTATGATATTTTCAACAGCAGCCTGAGCTGACTAAGATGGTCATACAAGACTTCATGCTATTAGACCCAATGCCATTTAAACAAATTACAATACAGACATTTATTCAAGTGATTTACTGAATACTTATATAACCATTATAAAATCATGCTCAAATTCTACTTAGTTACTGAACTTAAAACACCTAACATGAATGTCTGGGCAGAAGAACATTTGTGAGAGAGAACCAATTTTTTTTTTTCTTTCTTTCTTTCTTTTTTTTTTTTGAGACAGAGTTTCACTCTTGTTACCCAGGCTGGAGTGCAATGGCATGATCTCGGCTCACCGCAACCTCTGCCTCCTAGGTTCAGGCAATTCTCCTGCCTCAGCCTCCTTTTTCTTTCTTTTGAGACAAAGTCTCACTCTGTCACCCAGGCTGGAGTGCAGCGGCATGATCTCAGCTCACTGCACCCTCTGTCTTCCAGGTTCAAGTGGTTCTTGTGCCTCAGCCTTCCAAGTAACTGGGACTACAGGCGCCTACCACCATACACAGCTAATTTTTGTATTTTTAGTAGAGATGAGGTTTTGTCATGCTGGCCAGGCTGGTCTCAAACTCCTGTCTTCAAGTGATCTGCCTGTCTCAGCCTTCCAAAGTGCTGGGATTATAGGTATGAGGGAACTGTCATTTTTTCTGAGTGGAGGCAGTCCTTGCTTCAGTCTGTGTGTCTTGGGAGGGCTCTTGACAGTTAATTCTTTCAAAGAAGATTTCACTGACTAAATGTTATTAAATAGGGAATTTCTTTATAAAACTCAAGGTGTTTCCCCAAGGGAAAAAATTCCTCAACACATAGGAGATCAAACTTGTGGTGATGAAAGAGAGCTATCACCATCAATATGTCTTCACTATTTCATCTACTGTCAGTTACTAGTTATTCCTTCCAGACCACAGAAATGCCTGGGGACCTTAAGTCACAACTTTTAATCTTTGTTTTGCATCCTGACCTATAAAATGAGGGCACTGGATTAGATGATGATATTAATAACAACAGTAACTTTTATTGAAAACTTACTATTTCCTGGAGGTGGATCTAAGTTAATGATGACAACAGCAGCAATAGAAATAATAACAGCACACAATAACAGCAAGTACAGTACTATTCAAAACATTCTACTGATATCAACTTATTAATCTATCCAACAATCCTATGAAGTAGGCATTATCAAGCCCCCTTTTTAGATAAAGGAACTGGGGTTCAGAGAGTTTAAATTGCTTTCCCAAGGACATAGGGTAGGTGGAGAGGTCTAGTTTAAAAGCTGTGGAGTCTGGCTCTAGAGTCCACGTGTCTTACAATTCATCTACTCCCCACAACGACTTCCATCCTAATGATGAAGAATTGAAGTATAGCATGATTACATACCTTGCCCAAATCAGAAGCTAGTACATGGTGGTGTTAGAATTTGAATATAGGCAACCTGCTCCAAAGCCTACACTCTTAAGCGTTATGCTTTACCACCTCTCCTGAAATGGACTAACTTCAGGATCCTTTCCAGCTCAGAACATCTATGATTCTCTTCCCATCTATGGATTATATCAAGGCTCATACTTGATCAATATGTACTGGTATCCTAGAAAATGTTTCAGATGCAAAACGTATGTTCTTAAGTTTGATAAGGTAAATCATCAATTTCAAAAGTTTGAATTTTTAAAGATAATCTATTTTCTGTAAAATTAGTAAGGAAACAGGATAAGGAAAGTGGATAGCCAGTCAAAACTTCTGCAGTGTTTTAGGGATCACTCATACATTTCTTTAGGTAAAATCTCTGTGATATAATGAGGTTTACAGCATATTTTATAAAGTTGGAAACACCATATCATAGAAATCCTAGCTATGGCTGGCTAATTACAAATGCATGGTATTAAACCAATGAAAGTTAATATATTAGTGCAGTATGCTCAATAGTGCGATAATTGGAATAAGCTAAGAGTTATTCTATTTTGGTAGAGCAAGGAAAATGAAGATTTCAGGAACAAGTTTATGTGCTGATTTGTTTACTTTTTAGTCTCCTGGTGAAGTTACCTATAAGCCTGTTTCCCAGAATACTAACAGCCTTCCTCTGATTGGCCAGAAAAAGGATTTGCATCAAAAATATAATCGTGTCCACGTATGTGGTGCTTCCAGCTGTGGGAAGCTAAGAAGCTCCTATGTTCTGCCAAAATAGACAAGGTAGAGGCATGCTCATTTCTAAGAGACCAGTAAACTACATCCAGCTACTGCATGGCCTCACATGGCTGATGATGACAAATACCTACCCTTGTAGAGTGCAGACAAATTAGCACACTGATTGCTCTCAGCGTTAGCTTTCTCTGACGTGCAGCATTCTAACCTGAAGAGCTTTCTGGGTGATCCTGTGCATTTCACCATCATTCATGCCCTCAGGATAAAGCCACCTGCAAAGCTTCCCACCTCACAGTCCAGGGCCCCTTTCCACAACTTACCTCTTCATCCTTATTGGTTGTGTTTGACAATTAAGAGGTCTACACATGTCCTCATCATTTTAAGCAGTTTAACACCAAGACAAAGACATTTCAGGGAGAACTGACTTTAAAAGAGTGAGATCACTGATAAGCATGGGCAGTGAATCCAGGGAGTGCAAGGCCACCAATATGCGTGAACTTATTAATCATAATTATTACTTTTTCTTCGAAGAAAAGTATTTCCTTAGTCAAGCCTCAAGGGCATCAGATCAAGGGGAGATACTGCCACAGCTGGACTACACTTTCCAGCCAATTGGTCTGAAAAGGAGAATCTAGACAGTGTCCTGGCAACTGTTGAACACAGCCACAATCCATGAAAAGGGAGGGAAAAGAATTTTTAGAATGACTTCTAAAAAAAGTCTCCTTGTACTTTGCTTCTCCCTATTTTTAGAGGTAGTTTGAGGGTAATGTCAAAGCCCTATGGGATGTGTCCTAGGTGCTGACTGTGGAGCTCATTCTTCTATAGATAGAAACAAAAGGAGGTTTTAGTTCATGGTACAGTTTTTTTTTTAAACACCATGCATTTATAGTTAATCATCATAAAAAGTATACCTCAAACTTGGGCCAATGGCAAGAGTATTGGATCAATTTTCTATTGCCAGTTTCATATAAGTTACTATAAACCTTGCCAGGACACTGTAAAATCACCCTAGAAAGGGTAATTTATTAACAAAATCACAACTGGAGAAATTTAGTTACATGTCCTAGAAGTTCTCCCAAAAATGTATAAAAAAAAATTACAGAAGTGACTATTAACACACAAAAAAAAAAAAAAAAAAAAAAAAGCCACAAAATCCAAACCCCACTCTGTCAGAAGCACAGCAATACACACAAGAATCATGTGAAAATGAAAAAACAGAAAGCACACCAGGGATTTCATGAATTACAGAGAAATGAGACGTGAGAGTTACCGTGTAGAAAGAAAAATGAAAACAAACAAAAACCATTTCTATAGTTAAGGAAAGCTGTTTCTCACCGTTCTGAACAAAATGGCTGAACTAAGAGCCTCTGATTGGCTATGCCCATATACCCTCCTCCTCATCCTACAGGGAGAGAGATGACAAGGGGGCAATGCCCCAGAGCAGCATGGAATGAAAAAGAGGTGGTTAGTATTTAAAACAAAGACATAAGCATAATGTAGCAGAAGAGAATTTCTTGACTCTCTTATACAGACTGTAATTCCCTAAACTATCAAAATTAGTAGTTACTGTTGGTCCTCTGTATCTGCGGGTTCCACATCTGTGGATTCAACCAACTGTGGATAAAAAATATATATGCATATATGTATAAATAAAAAGCAATAAAAAATAACACTGCAAGATAAAAATAAACTAATTTTTAAAAATACAGTATTAACAGGCCAGATGCCATGGCTCAAGCCTGTAATTCAAGCACTTTGGAAGGCTGAAGCAGGCGGAGCCCAAGGTCAGAAGTTTGAGACCAGCCTGGCCAACATGGTGAAACCCCATCTCTACTAAAAATACAAATATTAGCTGGGCGTGGTGGTACATGCCTGTAGTCCCAGCTACTTGGGATGCTGAGGCAGGAGAATTGATTGAACCCAGAGGTGGAGGCTGCAGTGAGCTGAGATCACGCCACTGTACCCCAGCCTGGGCAACAGAGCGAGACTGTCTCAAAAAAAAAAAAAAAAAAAAAAAAGTCTAGCAACTATTTACATAGTATTTATACTGTACTATAAGCAATCTAGAGATGATTTAAAGTATATGGGAAGGGCCAGGTGCCGTGGCTCATGCCTGTAATCCCAACATTTTGGGAGGCCAAGGCAGGCAGATCACCTGAGGTCAGGAGTTCCAGACCAGCCTGGCTAACACGGTGAAACCCCATCTTTACTAAAACACAAAAATTAGCCAGGCGTGGTGGCAGGCACCTGTAATCCCAGCTACTCAGGGGGCTGAGGCAAGAGAATCACTTGAACCCAGAGGTGGAGGCTGCAGTGAGCTGAGATCACACCACTGCACTCCAGCCTGGGCAACAGAGCAACGCTCCGTCTCATAAACAAAACAAAATAAAACAAAATCAACTGTATGGGAGGATGTATATAGCTTATTTGCAAATACTATGCCATTTTATATAAGGGACTTGAGCAACCATAGATTTTGGTATTTGTGAGTGGGTTTGTCCTGAAACCAATCCCCCGAGGATACTGAGGAACAACTGTAGTTTGTCATTATACTTCTATTCTTCCTACTTTCCAAGATGCCATTTCTATCTCAGGGCTAGATCTGGGCAAAATTATCAAGTTGGAGGTTTTTCTTTATGTTTAGCTTTTCCTTCAACCTTTCTGTTTGCCTCTTCCTACTCTAGGCATCAAGTTCTTTCTATTATCAAAAAACTGTTTTCATGAGGAATCTAACCTTGGCATAAATTCAATTCCAAGTATCAGGAAGTAGGCAGAAAAAGTAAAATGATCTCTTGGCAGGGAAGGACTGCTGATGCCAGGCAGACAGCTCTCCATTTTGCCCACATTAAACACTGATACTGTTTTCCTTCTAAAATACAAAACTTGCCTCAACTGGCTTAGTAAATGTCATCATAATAGGACTAAACCTTCTGAATCTTAGAAACAACAGCAATTTGAATACCATTGCTGCTTTCATTGCATTATTTCTGCTGCTTCTGCTAAGACAATGCCATAGCTGTTATTTAGTGGAGATGTTTAGCAGGAGTTTTCCTCAATGCTTTAGTCATATGGAGGTAATTACTTGACTGTTTTTTTCCCTTAGCTATATATTTTAAGGCTGGGTGTGATGGAGATGTTAAAATTTGATTTTTGGCAATGGGATATGAGGTAATCTGTTCACCACTCTATCCCATCCATCATTTTCAAGATTCTGGGAGAGTTCCCTTCTTCCAAGAAACTAGAATTGAATATGGTTCCCTTCAGATTCATCAATGTCTCTTTTGCATTGATGAGAAGTTGAAGGCAACAATTTTCCTTGAGCATGACATGCTGGAGGGATCCACCAGGACAGGGAGTGAAGAACTAAGTTTCAGTCTTCACTTTTAATAGGTAATGAACACAGAGTTCATGCTTTACAATTAAACAGAAATAACCTCTAAATTAAGCTGTGCCTCACTAAGCTTGCAATGGAAGAGTCTTGTTTTTCTAAGAAGGCACTATTTCCTTAAAAAGGAAATCAAGACAGCTAAAAATTAGTATGTATCTCTGAGGTTAATTTTTTTTCTCCAATTCAAGGATTCTTTACTGTTCAAGTCTTACAAATATTCTCTGCTCTTAAAATATTCAGAATCACTAACTTTCTATAAAGAAATTGAATTTTCTTAAAAGAATAGTTTTCAGAACTGAATTAGCTATTTATTTTTCTTCTTCTAACTTGTATCTCAGAATTTGCAACATGCTAGTACAAAACACGTCAAAATTTAAGTTTATGGGTTTTAAAATAAAACATTCTAGAGCCATCTTACCTGGTCTGGGGAGGGCTTGTGATTTGTTTGATTGGAATGGGAGGATTTGAAGTGGTCATCCTCATAGTTGTCGGCCATTAGCTTCATTCGATTTTGTGTCTAGGAAGAAATTATTCATAAGGTTAAATTTAAGTTTCTATGACACACTGTAATGAATATTTTAAGGATTTCATAAGAAAGGATAAAACTAATCCTGCCTGCAGTAAAATAAACTACATACAGGATTTCTGAGGATACTGGAAAGAGTTTAGGCACCACTATGGAGTGAATTGTGCCCCCCAATATTCATATGTAGAAGCCCTAAACCCAATGTCACCATACCCAGAGACAGGGCCTTCAGGAGGTAATTAAGGTTAAATGAGGTCATAAGAGTGGCGTCTTAATCTTATAGGACTGGGCTTTGGAAGAAGAGGAAGAGAAAAACAGAGGAATTTCTCTTTATTTCTCTGCCATATGAAGATCCAGTAATTAGGCAGCCTCTGCAAGCCAGGAAGAGCATTTGCTAGGAACCGAATCAAACAGTACCTTGATCTTGGACTTTCCAGCCTGCAAACTATGAGAAAATAAATTTCTGTTTGATTAAGCTACGCAGTTTACAGTATTTTATTACGGCAGCTTGAGCTAAGACTGGCACTTAAAGTGATACAGAAATTTTGAGGGAAGAGGCCGGGCACAGGGTCTTACGCCTGTAATCCCAGCTACCTGGGAGGCTGAGGCAGAGGAATCGCTTGAACCCAGGAGGCAGGGGTTGCAGTGAGCCAAGATCACGCCATTGCACTCCAGCCTGGGCGACAGTGTGAGACTCCGTCTCAAAAACAAAAGAATTTTTTGGGGGAAGAGGCAATATCCCCAAATCAAGTACTTCATGATTTTTTTTTTTTCCCAAAGAGACAAGGTCTCACTATGTTGCTCAGGCTGTCTCAAGCTCCTGGCCTCAAGTGATCCTCTGGCCTCAGCTTCCCAAGCAGCTGGGACTATGGGGACAAGCCACCATGCTCGACTGATTTTAAAATTTTCTTTTGTAGAGACAGGGTCTCACTAAAAAAAATCAATTGAGAGAAATGCCAGATATAGGTGATGGGGAGGAAGGCAGCAAATCACACTGCAACGTGTGTACTTATGCAACAATCTTGCATGTTCTTCACATGTACCCCAAAACCTAAAATGCAATTAAAAAATCAATTGAAAAACGATTATAATTTACTACAGAGTTGAGTGAGGTGATCAGACAGAAGCTGTACACACACACACACACACACAGATATGTAATCCAATAGCTTTTCTTTATATCATCAGTAAACAATTTGGGTTTTAAAAACAAGTAAAAAGTTCTGAAATCCTTCTCCTGAACCCTAAGCCAGAAGAGGGCTACAATTCCATTGTCTTTTCTCCATCTTTACCAAAAGGAAGACTGGATTGGTGATTCTGTGTGAGTGGTTAATTTAGGCCTTGAGCAAATGAACAATATATTGAACACTTTAGAGAATTAACTCTGCAGAGTAAGCAGCTTAGAAAATGCAGGGTACATGATGCATAAAATCAAACAGCAATATGTTACACCAATAAAATATTGTTAAAACTTGAACTTATATAGCATTACAAATAAACTTGCTAATACTGGATGATCTAAAAATGCTCACTATAGATAATTTGGGTTTTCTGTGTTGTTATATTTTCGAGAGAGTCTCATTCTGTCACCCAGGCTGGAGGGCAGTGACACAATCACAGTTCACTGCAAACTCAAATTCCTAGGCTCAAGTGATCCTCCCAACTCAGCCTCCTGAGTAGCTGCGACTACAGGTACGTACCACCACATCCAGTTAATTAAAAAATTTTCTTTTGTAGAGACAGGGTCTCTATGTTGTTTAGGCTGGTCTTGAACTCTTGGCACTATAGATAATTAAAAAAATAAAGTACAAACAAAAAAGAGGAAAGAAAGAAAAACCAACTATAATTCCTCTATCAGTGATTATCACTCTTAGTATTTAGGTGTATCCAGACTTCTTACTGTGAACATAAAAAGTGCCATGCTCTTCTGATTTAGTCTATTTCTTCTCTATTTCAGCTACACTGTGATATTTTAAAAATTACTATATCTTATAGCATATTTTCATACCTGGTGGGATACGTCCACTAATTCTGCTTTGTCAAAATTTGATTATTTTTAACACGTTTTCTTTTCTAGATAAATGAAAAATAATTTGTCTAGTTCCATAAAAAAATTTACAGAGATATGTAATGATGTCTGAGCAAGGGCTTTAAAAGAGCCAAATTGCCCGAGTTTATATTCTATCTCTGCCTCTCACCAGCTGACTTTAGGCAAGCTACTTAAATGCTGTGAGCCTCAGTTTCCTCACCTTTAAAATGGGGATAACAATGGTATCTCTTACATAAGACTGCTGTGAGGATTAACCTGTTTAATTAATACAAGGAAAGCACTTAGAAAGGTGCTTGGCATAAAGCTGACACCCAATACATGTTAGCTATCATCATTATTATGACCATTTTTTCATGTCATTAAATAGTATTATAAAATCCTATTTTTAAAAAATTACATATATATGTATATATATGTGTGTGTGTGTATATATATATATATATATTTATTCATTTATTTTTTGGTTTTAGAAAGTGTATTTTCTTCTAGAAACTGTAGAAATGGGGTCTCACTATGTTGCCTAGGCTGGTCTTGAACTGCTGATCTCAAGTGATCCTCCTGCCTTGGCATATCAAAGTGTTGGGATTACAGGCATGAGCCACTATGACCAGCCTAAAATCTACTTTTAACTGGCTGCACAGCACTTAGCTGAATGGATATCTTTTTTATTATTATTATTATTTTGGAGATAGAGTCTAGCTCTGTCATCCAGGACTGTGGTGGTACGATCTCAACTCACTGCTACCTCTACCTCTTGGGTTCAAGCGATTTTTCTGCCTCAGCCTCCTGAGTAGCTGGGATTACAGGCGCCTGCCACCACACTCAGCTAGTTTTTGTATTTTTAGTAGAGACAGGGTTTCACCATGTTGGCCAAGCTGGTTTCGAACTCCTGACTTCAGGTAATCCGTCCGCTCTGGCCTCCCAAAGTGCTGGGATTACAGGTGTGAGCAATTCTGCCCAGCTCTCTGAATGAATATTTAATGAGTACCATATTGTTGGAGATTTAGGTTCTTTACATTTTCACCTAATAATGGAAGCACATTTTAAAGTCAATTTCTCCCTCTAGTATATAATAGGAAAAAAACACCTATTAATAAACTATCTGTGAATCAAATTTCTCTTTTCTGGGATGACCCCCAGTGATCTTTGCTATGTCTGAATGTTTCTGCTCCCCTCAAATTCTTTTTTTTTGAGGTGGAGTCTCGTTCTCTTGCCCAGGCTGGAATGCAGTGGCACCATCTCTTATCACTTCAACCTCCGCCTCCCCGGCTAAGCAATTCTTCTGATTCAGCCTCCCAAATAGCTAGGATTAGAGATGCATGCCACCATACTGGCTAATGTTTTTGTATTTTTAGTAGATACAGGGTTTTGCTACATTGGCCAGGCTGGTCTCGACCTCCTGACCTCAAATGATTTGCTCACCTCAGCCTCTCAAAGTACTGGGATTACAGGCATGAGCCACTGTGCCTGGCTCCGCCCAAATTTATATGTTGAAACTCAACCTTCGATTTGGTGGTATTATGAAATGAGGCCTCTGGAAGATGATTAGGTCAGAGGGTAGAACCCTCATGAATGAGATTAGTACTCTTATAAAAAAGGCCTGAGGTATCATGCAATATACCCAGGTAATTAAACCTGCATATGTATCTCCTGAATCAAAAATAAAAGCTGAAAATAAAAGAAAATAATGAAGAACAAGGTTCTATTGCTGAAGTTTGTACTTTGATTTGGGAGATATAAATATCTAGTTGTATCACTGGTAGGAGACTGAAATCCTAGAGGATAGTGTCTTACTCAAAAGAGAAAATATGAAAACAATTTGTTTTTTCCTTCTGTTTTTGCTTTCCCAGCACACTTTGCTTGTGAGACCAACTATAGATTTTTCATATAGAACTGTTATCTTCATTATCAAATTAACAGCAAATAACATATTTTTTTTCGTTTGCAAACAGTAGTTGTTCAAAGGATAATTGCAAATGAATAAATAAATAAATGAATGAGTAAATAAATGTTTCCATTATATTTGGAAAACAAAATGGCCCAAAGGAGCCTGTTTGCCCTTCAGCAGTGTGAAGATGTAGCAAAACAGCACTATCTATGAAGCCAAGAGCAAGCCCTCGGCAGACACCGAATCTGCTGCTGCCTTGATCTTGCACTTCTAGCCTCCAAAATGGTGAGCAATAAACTTCTATTGTTTTTAAATTACTCAGTCTAAGCTATTTTATTATAGCAGTCTGAATGGACTAAGACAATCATGAAAAGATGTAGGCTAATTTTTCTTATGGCATGTGGTATTTCATGACAAAGTCTTCTGCAAAGCAGCTCTCAGGAAAAAAGGAAAATAGAGGAAAAGAAAGAGGCATTCGCAGAAAGTGAGCAAAACATCTGTATCATGTCATTCATTCAGTTAGGAAACCTTTCCATGTTGACTTTAATAGGAATGTGGGTGAAAGTATAGTTGGCTATTTATTTTCTTAGAACATGAGACAATCTTTACTATCTGACATCTAGCATAAGTTTAAAAACTTAAAAAGAAATCCTAACAAAGTACACAAAAATCCATTTTCAAGGCAGAATGCATTTAAAGTACTTCTTAGGAATGAGTATGTATGCTTGCCTGAAGAAACTGATCCAAGTGGATTTATCTGTCCAAAGATTACTAAGATTAGTAGATTATAAGATTATAAGACCAAAGATTACTTATTTGATCCACGTCAGAGAATGAAAAAAATAACTGTAAGAACTTACTTCTCCATTTCCAAAAGACACGAAGATGATCAAAGTTTAGCGTTCCTTGGTCTAGTATGAGGAAACTTGGTGTGAAGTCTGTTCCCTGCGTAGTTACGATGTTGAGCACTAAGTATCTGACAGCTCACAGAGCATTAGATGTTACACAGATCATATAAATGACTCTGTGCTCTTAAGGGGCTCTCATAGTATG